CAATATAACCTTAACAATGTGTGTTTCTATTATATGCCTACATTATATGTATATGTGTTTTCCTTACCCAGCACATTTCAACAATTCACTGCACCTGTATATATCAAGAAAGAGTAAAGGAAAAAATATAAAATTTGATCAATACAATCTTTCCATAGGTCATAATTGGAGTAAAAATGCTCCAAAAGAAGAAAGAAACTGGTTGGGATAGTTTCAAGTATCTTTCACTTCTAAGTATACTGGATACCTGTAAGAAGGTTTACAAGGTTACATACCAGTTTTAAGTCTGCAATTCAGGGCAAAGCCCCCAAAGCTTTATACCCCTACTGAGGACTAACGTTACCTTTAGGTCCATCTACCCACTGAATAATCACTGGTAAAATGAAATATGTCATTTCGTATAAAACATGAAGCTTTACCTACTTGAAAGTATTCTGAGAAATATACAGTTCTCTTCTTCTTTACGAAGAAAATGGTGAGTGATCCAGACTAGGTCAGACTTTAAACACTTCTTTCTACTGCATCATTATAATACATCATAATGGAAAAATGGCTGACTATCAAGCATAAGTTAAGTAAGCACTTTACCTTCATCATGCTCCTTGCTTTCCATATTTTCCCCTTCGTACTACTTTGACCACAGGGTCTTTTAAAATGAACCCAGTTGGAATCATTCTTATTGTTAGAATTGGAAGAGTTGGAATTCCTAATGTCATAGAGCTGTAATCAACAGACAAGTTGGACAGTGGGATAGTTCAGCAGATTGACAAATATTAGTCTGATCCATCCGGGTGAATAAAATACTCTGAGTGTAAACTCACTGGCTGAAATGTAATTTGGGAGAAACTTTTCCTCTTTCAGACCACTGGGATACCATTTCACTTAAAATTGTTTCAAATTTGCATAGTGATATTCCAATGTCTGAAAGAGCTATGTTCCTTTAAAGTATCTAACACCTAAAAATAATCTGTTTGTCTGGAAGCATATGATAAATTATATTTTTATACCTTTTTGATTAAAACATTTCAAGTGACCAGGATAGCACACTTTATAGCTGCTTTGAAAATACATGATCCCTGAATAAAAACTTAAGACTTTAACTACCAAAGTTTATTTTAAAATGCTATCATCATCTCATCATTTATACTAATTAATTTATGGAGGCCATAGATACTGTGACTGAAAGGTTGATAAGTGTACATTAAAAATTTCTAAACAGCTCTATTATTTATTACATTTTGTTGCTTAAGTGAGCTCTTAAGTCCAGGTTCAGGGAAGCCAGAGACCTCTATTGGACTCAGGTTCTATTTGGACCAAAGTTTTATACCAAAAGAACCACAAAAATACAAGCAACATTGAACAAGGAATAGTACAAAAAAAATGAGGATTCTGTATTACAAATGATTTCTCTGTCTTTCGTATGCCCACATTTGAACCCTTCATTAGACGGAAATTTGTTTACCTACAATGTACATAATATATTTTTCTCAAGGAAAATTACGTAATAAGGATTTCATTCCTAAAGAGTTTTTAAGATATATAAGAAGCCTGCTAATAAATCTAATTGATATTGTTGGAGTTTGGCTCCAGGGGCTGTTAACACATCAGCTTTGTCACTGTTTCTGTCAAATCAAAGTCTGAGAGTTCAGTTGACTAAATGGGAACGACTGACCTTAATGAATATACTGCTGAAGGTGAAGCCTAAGTGTGGGTAGTTAAGCAAACTTTGTCAAGAGACCCTTATAACTTCACAGGGGTCTCTGAGGACCAAACTACTGTTAAGTAATAAAGACTTTTGTTAATTAATAAAGATGATAATAGTAGCTGACACATATGGACATATATCAATTTAAAGTTTGCAAATCATTTTTCATATATTATCTCATTTGATCCTCACAACAACCCTGTGAGGTAGACAGAACTGTCATCCCTGTTTTACAGATGATGACACTCAGGCTAAGTAAGGTTAAGTGACTTGTCCAAAATTACAATGCTGCTTAAATGTCTCAGGAGGGATTTGAACTCAGATAACCATAACTCTGAAGTCTACTGACCCATCTACCATGCCATATTTCCTCAAGCAGTCCATAGAACAATATTTTAATATTCTTTTTGGTGACTGTTTTAATGATTCAAGTTATTAAGTTGCAGGAAGGCCTTTTTAATAAAAATATCCTCCCCATCAGTCTATTTTGATGTTTCAAATTAGAAGTTAATTCTTAAGAGATAAAGCATTGCCCTCTTTTGAGATGAAAATACCCTTGCTATAGTTATTATATGAACCTTTCCAGCATGACTGCTGGTGGAGAGAAGAGAAAGGACATAAAGAAGTTTAAAATACAGGGAATACACTTGGGGAGGTAGGATTAAGGAGACTTTGAAGCCCTGAACTACCAACGGATCCATGAGGGCACTGGGGGAGGGAAGGAAAGAGAGGGATGAAAGGTACCAAATACTGGGGAAGCAATGACACATGAGTAGTCTACATAAATGGTGTCACACTGGAATGTTGGTAGCAATAAGAGCTACAGCATTCCAACAAAGTCCAAGATAGGGAATCATATTAAATGGAGGGATCTACCATATACCACAGGTCTGAAAAATCAAGTTTAAGAAGGGTCTTATAAAGGAAAGTGATGTTTATACTAGGCATAGAGTATCTACCCTGTTTTATATTATGTGTCAGGAAGTGGGCAGCCCAGAGCTCATAGACGTTAATTTTACCTAGAAAGAGGTTAGATATTAGAATTACCACACAGTACTTTCCCTCCTACCAGGATATTATTTCATTTACGTCTGAGATCCCAGCTTGTTAGGATAGATTCACTGGAAGACCCAGACTTCAGTGATATTGCAAATCTTGCTTAGAATTGAGTAGTTTTGTTTAGGATTACGCAGAAGATTCATTAGCTCAGACTTCTTAGCAGTAGCTTAGGGATCATCAAGATAGGGAAAGTTAAGTGTTATGACTAAATACACAGGAAGGAGGCTGCTAGTCAAGACTGACATACAAATTGCTCAAGTATAGGGACAGGACAACTTAGCAAGCATGTGGCTTTCTTGGTTGAAAATCTATAAGAAAATTGCAGCAAGGATCAGGGCATGATGAGATAGGATAAAAATAGGAAAGAAGCTAGGGACTCTTCAGCAAAGCGGGCAAGTCAAGTGGAGTCAGGGAAGATTGGGCAGCTAGGTGTCACAGTGAATAGAGAGCCGGGCCTGGAGTCAGGAAGATTCATCTTCTTGAGTTCAAATCTGGCCTCAGACACTATGTGACCCTGTGCAAGTCACTTACCCCTATTTGCTCTGTTCCTCATCTGCAAAATGAGCTGGAGAGGGAAATGCAAACCATTCCAGTATCTTTGCCAAGAAGACCCCAAATGGGATCATATAGTCAGACATGACTGAAAACAACTGAACAACAGCATGTGTATGTGTAAATAGGCTGGGTCAGGGTCAGAGAAGATGAGGGGAGGAGTAAAAAGTGGATCTTATTAAGGTCAGAAATGACATCTTGGATCTCTATTAAGAGGATAATCATTCACTTGATAGTTTGGCTGCCAACTGCCTCCGTTTCAGGAGATGGACTTTCCCAATAGCCCCATCCTAGGAAAATGGGGTAATTCCCCTCTCAATGGACCTAGCCACTGGAGAGAGGTAGAAATCCTAATTTGTTTAGTATGGTAAGAGTGCTATACACCCTTGAGGCAGATAGGAAATACCTCTGTGGCTTAGATGGGCACACTTTCCCCTGAGTCTGGGGTTTTCATTGTTCACTTTGTCTTCTGGGGCTGAAACTAAAGAAGTACTTGCTTGTAAATGAAATTTTTGTGTGAGCTCCTTTTCCTTGGACTCCCAAGATTAGATTTTTAACAGAGACTCCCTTCTACCTAGGTGGAGTTATTAGATAACACAGGAGGAGAAAGGGGAATGATGACCAGTCAGAAGAGAAGTTGTCCCAGTACTGGATTTGGTGTACATGTGCTGAGAAAAAGAGAACAAGCTCTGAGAGTACACATGTTCCTGATTAAGGTAGGGCCATAGCAATGTCAAGCAGTCGGCATTTATTAAGGGATCACTTTGTGCCCTACACTGACCGTGTTAGGTGCTGACGATATCAATAGAACAATAAACAAACAGCAGCCCCTGTCTTTTGGGAGCTTTCATTTTTCTATCTGGAGAGACAATGTGTACACACATAAGTATATATAAAGTAAGGAAAAAGGCATGAGCAGTTGAGGACATCAGGAAAAACCTTCATGTAGACTGAATTTTGGAGAAAATTAGCTATTTTTTAAAATTAGCTATTCTAAGAGGCAGAGATGAAGGAGTACATCTCACGTGAAGGGGACAGTCAGTGTAGAGATACAGAGAGCTGTGTGTAGACAGAAAGAGGGCCATTTGCTTGTCCAACACCATAGGGCATACTCCTCAGAAGCTGACCACTGACAAAGCCTTGACACTTTCCCACTATTTAGCAGATCAAATGAGATGATAAATGTAGAGTGCTATATAAATGCAGGCAGCTGTTACTGTTTTATCTACTTCTTACTCAGATTTCTAAAGATGATCCTATAAAAATATGTTTGACCAACCTTTCCAGTCTTCTCATACAAAGACAGACCACCTTATAGGCTTTTTAGAGATTTAGCTATATAGGAGACAAGAAACCTTGGGGTTGTTAGAAACTTCCAGAATAAAGGAGAACAGTTATTTCTATTTTTTAATACTAAACTTATTCAGGGCACAATAATCTATCTAGGCACAGTCAGTCAATAAGCATTTATTAATGGCCTACTATGTCCCAATAACTGTGCTAAATCCTGGGGATAAAAGAAAAGGTGAAAGACAATCCCTGCCCTTAAGGAGCTCATAATTTAATGAGGGAGACAACATGCAAACAACTATGTACAATCAAGCTATATACAGCATAAAAAGGAAATAGTCAAACAGCGGGAGGAAGGCATTAAGATTAAGAAGGACCAGGAAAGGTTTCATACCTTGAAAGCCAGAGGATTTTGAATTTGATCATAGAAATGATCAAAGTGGAGAATGTGGTCAGACCTGTGCTTCAGGAATATAAAATAACTTTGGTGGCTGAATAGAAAATGAACTAGAGCAGGGAACTTGTGGCAGGCAGTCCAACCAGCTGATTACTACAGTAGCCCAGGCATGAGAAGATGATGGCCTGCTCCAGGGTGGTGGCAGTATCAGAGGAGAGACGGGGTACATTAGAGATGTTATGAAGGTAGAAATGTAAGCCCTTGACAATAGATTGGCTATGGGGGGCAGGGTACGTGAAACAGTGAGTTGAAGATGACAGATTTCAAGCTTGAGGGACTGGGAGGATGGTGATGCTTTCAACAGTAATAGAGAAGTTTGAGAGGGTGGGGGGTTTAGGGACAAGGATAATGAGTTCAGTTTTGGACATACTGTGTTTAAGATGTCTGCTGGACATCTCATTTGAGATGTCTAATAGGTACATGAGGGATGGCTCACAGTGAAGTTCCCTCATTAGTGTCTCCTTGCTACACTCTTACCTCCCTGCTATGCTCCTGTGTCTCTCCTGCACTCTGCCTGAGTGTCAGAGATTGTCAGCAGTGCAGTTCCCAGAGGCCTAAGTTTCATTCCTCCAGAAAGCCTTGAGCTAAGTTTCCATATTCCCCAATAAGTTTCTATTTCTCCAGAACCACGTCAACAGGGGTGGGGGAGCTTTGTTGCCTGGTTGCTCCTACTTCTTAGTAGTCCTAGTACACATATACATCTAGTCCACACATGGGCATGTTTGCTTCTATTGGGTATTAGTTGCCGAGTTTAGAATGTATGCCCTCAGTATCCAGTCAAAGGAGAAAGGGGTAAGAGAGTGGAAGGGGGCATCACATTAAGGGATAAAAAGCCAAGGGTGGGGCTCCCAACTCATACTCTCCTGGCCAGCAATGGCGACAAGGGGCGGTACCCTTCCTCATGAGAAAGCAATAAACTCCTTTCTGCTTTCAAGGTATCTAAGTCTTTGTTTTTATTTTGAGTGAGTGGTCTCCGTCCTACACAGCTGGAGAATTGTCTGGAATTTCCTCCTTATTTGGGAAGGGCCTCCCAGCCAGTCCTAGGACAGGTGCCTGCAGGCTACTTGTCAGCGGTCCTTGGAATGGTTTGGGAATTTCCTTTCACTTTTAAGGAATGCACCCGAAGAAAGACAGATACCTGAAAGCAGAAACCTCAGAAAGGGCACAAGGACCACTACCTGTTGAAGAATTTGAAGCGGTCGTGTAAGTCTGTGTGCACAGACTCAGGTAAGCAAGACCTGTGAGTCCTTTGTGCACCTAAGCAGTTTGAGTCTGTAAGGCAGCCAAGGCCAAGACTGGAGCCCCTGGGTGACCGGACCCAATTCTGTTAGACCAAGTGGTTCAAGTCTTTAAGGAACAGTGTCGGGTGGAAAGCGAAGCTCTAAGCAGTTTGAGTCTATAAGAGCAGTCCCACATTTTCCAGGCTGCCTAAGCGGTTCAAATATGTAAGGCATGGGGAAAACAAATTCTAAGGTTGTGCACCTAAGCAGTTTGAGTCCATAAGGTAGCCAATTCTAAGGTTAATCGTGGCAAAGTTCCTTTCCAGATGTTCTGGACGATAAGGGAAAGACAAGAGAAAATAAAAATGATCAAATACTGCTGCTTAGTTTCGGGTGGAGATGCCTAATTTGTGCAGGAGATTTCTAACAATTCTCTCTGAGCTTTTGGATCTCCCTGTCATTTTTTGTCTGTATCTGTTTTCTGTGTTTGTGTCTGTGTGGTGTGAGTGAGTGTCCTGTGTAATTTGATGCCCTCTGCAGCCAGGTAGCATCCCAAGGCTTCAGCTGGACTCTGAAATGCTGCTTTCTTTCTCTCCCCATTTCCTTCCTTGATTGCAGTAATCTCAGAGGATTGGCTGGATGGGAGAGAGAAAGAGAGAATAATACTTTATTATTTAGGTTATATGATTGGTAAAAGGCAAGTCGAAGTGTCAGGTCAGAAGTAGAAAGAAATAAGATATGTGCAGTTTTAAAGTGACTTTAATCAAAGCCCCTCAGAGGGATAAGTAGGTAGAAGGAAAGGCAAGAAAGTTTAAGCATGTAGGAGACAGGAGTATGTGTACAAAGTTTAAGGAAGGTATAATTTATTTGCACAGTGTGAATAGGTTTTGAAAGCAAAAAGTTTTGGAAACTCTTGAAGAGTTGTTGGAAAATATTCTCTTCCTCTCTCCCACATTCCAACTTTGGCCACGTTGTTGAATGTAGAAGTGATAAAGATAAGGAGGAAAGGAGGGTGAATCTTTCCCCTCAGATCAAAGGGAGGCAGGCTAAATAAGCCTTTAACCATTCCCTGCCTTACCTAAAAGAGAAAAGTTTTTGTGTAATAGGACCCAACCAGAAAGAAATTGAATTCATTCTGGTCATATTTAAAAAAATATGAAAAATGTAATGTGTCACTCCTAATTTAATGCTTAAGATAGGTTAGAATTTATTTTACTATTTGGCACTAAAGTAAGATTAGTAAACAAAAATCTTAAGCAGGCAGCTTAGAGTGAAAGGCTGATAGCCTAATTTAAAAACCAATAGATAAAGTTATGGAGAGATGGAAGGAATTATGTCCACCCACCTTTCGGGCTAGATCCCTGGGTGGGTTCTATTAAATCTAATATGGATACTGGCTATGGTAAAGATATTGGTTATTATGAGTTATGATTATTTCTGTTCAATTAATTATCAAGCTCCAGAGGTGTCTACCTGGAGGGAAAGCTGATCATACTTTGTCAGCATTGATTCAAATTCCTTAGGCTTGCTTTTTTTCCCCCCCTGGGCCAAAAAGTAGTAGTTAGAATACCAGCCCAGCACATTTTAAACTGACCTGATTACAATAGGTGATTCCAAACTGCCTGTAAAATTTTTGCAAGAAAATGTGGATGTGAATGGGGAACTGAAATATTGAAGAAATATATGAATTTGTAGATAATATTCCTTTATAAAGGGCCAAGAGTATTGAATTTAGAAATGTATATTTGTATAATTTGAAAAGTACATATTGTTATTTGGCATTGAGAAATTTATTAACTATATGGTCCCCAAGAAAGTTCTATTTACTGTAGTTTACTGTTCAGTAAGGGGATGGTGGTGGAATTCATTCCCAGGGATATTACAAAGATCACATGATTGTAAAGGTGCTTGGCACAATGCTTGGCATAAAACAAATGCTATCTGAATGTAAACTGTTTTAAGTTAAATATAATTTCTTCATATTCATTAACTTTATGTGGATTTTCTGTGTGAAGTTTATGTCAATGGTGATGAGATGAATGATTCTCTGTGTAAGGCAATTTGGGAACACATCCAATTAAAGTAAAGCCACCAGAGTGGTAATTAATTGGTTTTGGTTTTAAAGTTTAAATAGATGATAGTTGTTTATGGTATTGTTGTATTTCTAAAATTTTCCTTTACTGTATAATTTGGTAAACATCTGTATCATCTGTTTTGTTGGAAAAGCAATTTCTCTTCTAATCTAAATGTTGTTAGGTTAAGAATTGTACTGTAAAAAAAATGATGAATGGGTTAGGAAACTTTTAAGTCATTCTATTTGACCATGTATTATAATATTTTGAAGTATTGTAATTTAAGAAATCATAAAATTTCCAAATTTTGTCTTTATTTAAAGGGAATTTTCAGTTAAAATTGTTTTCTATCATTTATGAAATTTGTGAGATTGTTAACTAAGTTATTTGGGGTTACTGTTTTAATGCTAAAACCTAAAAGGGTTAATTAATTACTGTATGTGAAAGAAGGGGATAGTGTAAAGCCTTATCAAGTTGGTTCTGCCCATTCAAGGGCACCAGTATCAGCCCTCTCTGAGGTCCATGTCAATTCTCCTTATTTTGTAAACTTGCCAAGGTCCCTGGAAACCATCTGTGTGGGCAAGGTCATCTGCCCTGAGAAAAGAACTTGTTAGGATTATGCAGTTCCTAAACAATGAACTTGGCTTGCTGAGAATTTGCAAGTGTATAGTAATGATTTCTAATGATTGGCTTTTACACCAGGACAAGTTTAATTTGAGAAGGAAAGATGAAAAGTGAAATCTCTTATGCATGTGAGTCCTGGTAAATCTTTATTGCTTATTGCAACTCCATGAGAGTAAAATTAACTGTATCTGGTTTTAAGCTGTGATTAGTGAAACTTGCTGTTTGAGGTAAAAGGCTCTTGGGACTATAACTAATTTTGTTTTGAGTTTGAATTTGGGTATAGTTGTCTGCATTAAATCAGTATGTGAGAGAAATGCCACTCAAAGGGAATGTGATCCTGTACCGTAAAGCCGAGGAGACAATCTTAGCCTCAATCTAGGATGGGATCCTCCTGGCTCAGTTTCCCCACTGTGCTCCTTTGGAAAGGAATGTTTCCCACCTGACTATTTCTGAGTCTGGCTAGGAAGAGAAACAGATACTGCATGATTGGAGAACTGTGACTCTATCTGAATTTAAACAACTAAGGGTATTTTATCCTGTCATATTTGGTATGTCACATGTCCCTGCTCTTTTTCCTTCTATAGTAAGTTTCTATGATCAGAGCTAGTAGTCACTATAAGATATGAGCTCTTTTGTGTTATCTTACTGGGAAATCTAATAATATTTTTATCTAGAACTAGAACATGTGCAGAAATTTATGCAAAGAGCTTAAGAATCACCTTAAGATGTTCCCTTTGTTTAAAAGGATTCTAAGAGCAGTAGTATTTTTCCTGTAATCAGTCTCTTACTGTTACCAATGTGAGATTCTATTACAACACCTTTTGACTAAGGAACTTTGTGATATTTAGGGATTCTGTGATAACTACGAATTTAGTTTCTTGATAATGCTCTGGAATTGGTGTTACTTAAGGACTTTTGCGCCAGCTTAGTAGGGTTTTATGAACAAGGGTCGAAATGCATACAAGCTATTTAGGGCTCTCTTTGGAGATGTTCCTTAGGCAATGTGAGATTATAGTCATATCTTGAACTGAGTATAGGAACTTGCTATTCAAAGACTTCATGGGACTAATGAGTGACTGTTTCTGAGTCTAACTCCAGGTGTAAATATCAAGGAAGGCTGTCTGAGCCACTGATCCATGATGCCAGCAGCCCTGTGAAGGGCAAGTATGATCTGCAGGTATGATTTCATGGGAAGGTTGAGAGGGCAACTGTTCTGCATGTGCTGAGGTGGGACTCTCTTGACTTGATTCTTAACTGAAACCTGGCAGACTTTAAGTCTGGCTCAATGCAGTTTGCAGTTTGACATAACACTCTGCCTGGAGTTGACAGGAAGTTGGGGAAATATTTTTCCCTTACTATAAGTCTCTAATGTCTTAGTGGCAAGTTTCTATAATCAGAAGGTTTTGTAAGTACAGTAACAAATTGATTATGGAATATCTTAGGTTACTATAGAACTGGGACTAGTGTTCCTGTGTGTGTTCCCATACGAGTTAGGTTCCTTTAATTCTTGGTAATGGTATGGAGACAATTAGGTCATGGGCTTGTGAGAATGTTATTTTGTTATTTGGTTAATATCATACTTGTCTAAAGTTTTGTTACAATTAATAATGTCAAAAGAAGAATGGCTTGTGGTTTATTTTGTAAATGCCATCAAAAACATGATGTGACTAAAAGTTTATGATTTTATAAGTACTGTGCTAAAAATTGATTATTTAATATATTTATGTATGTACTGGAGCCTGTTATTAATTCCTTAGTGAAATCTCATCCTCCTGGTAAGGAAATTAATGATGGATTAATGTAAAGCATAAGACACTGGGTTCTGATGTGAATTTCTTAAACATGACAGTTAGCCATGGTTCCAATTTTGAGTTTGTAAAAATGATCAGGGTTATAAGGATTAGAAATGGTAATTTAAAGTTGTGCTAAGGTCACTTTTGTAGTAGAATGGACTGGTTCCTACAAGAAGACAAGAAGATGCTGAGATGCTGTGCTGGAGATGGCCAGAACAAATATCAAGGACCAGAGGACTTCATTGATGATGTTCCCTGCCAGACAGCTATATAGGAAAAGACTTTTTGAATCTTAAAGGGACAATTGCATTATAGTTTTCTTTTGGGTCTGCATTTATAAAGGGGACTGCCCCTTTGATTTGTCAATGCGTAGATCAATCCATCCCATATTTACTTAAAGGGGTGATGGTTAAGGGGAAGAATTCAGATGAGAACAAGAGTAAGGAAGTAAAGGAGGCAATGAGGAAGACATTAAAGAAGAAGTTTATCAACAATGGTGAAGGAACTTCAAGACAGGATAAAAGAAAAGGGGGGATTGTGAGGGACGGCTCACAATGAAGTTCCCTCATTAGTACCTCCTTGCTACACTCTTACCTCCCTGCTATCCTCTTATCTCTCTCCTGCACTCTGTCTGAGTCTGAGAGACGGCCTGCAGTGCAGTTCCCACAGACCTAAGTTTCGTTCCTCCAGAAAGCCTTGAATTAAGTTTCCATTTTCCCCGAAAAGTTTCTATTTCTCCAGCACCATGTCAGTATGGATGGGGGAACTTGGTTGCCTGGTCACTCGTATTTCCTAGTACAAATATGTATCTAGTGCAAACATGGGCATGTTTGCTTCTATTAGGTATTAGCTGCCGAGTTTAGAATGTACGCCCTGAGTACCCAGTAAAAGAAGAAAGGGGTAAGAGAGTGGAAGGGGGCATCACATTAAGGGATTAAAAAGCCAAGCATGCGGCTCCCAACTCATACTTTCCTGACTGCAGTGGTGACAAGGGGTGGTACCCTTTCTCATGAGAAAGCAATAAACTCCTTTCTGCTTTCAAAGTATCTAAGTCTTTGTTTTTATTTTGAGTGAGTGATCTCTGTCCCACATAGGTAGTTGGATATGCAAGTCTGCAGGCCAGGAGAAAGGGTAGGGATGAATAAG